GGTAAATTTCTACTATGCAGGGTTGACATGTGACCAAAAACAGCACTTTACTAGTCTTTCTGTTAATTTAGTTTAAATGTCATGTGTGTTTTTAGTCAGTCGTGTAATTTTCCCATTGCATCAAACTGCCCTTTGAGGCATATGAGATACAGGAATGCTTGCAAAATGAATGGCAGCAATTATCATTCAAATGAGGAGGTTCCAGCCGGGGTATATACAACTTGGGAGCTTATTACCTTGTGAGAATTAATTGCATTATATTTTTGTGAGGATTTCTAAATTTTAACATAATACAATAGTGAAAGTCCCTTGGAGGAGAAAAATGTACTTAAGAATTCCAGTTGCTAAACTTAGTGAGTCCACTGATGCATGTTTCTCCACAATAGAGGGCATTTATTAACATTTTGGTTGGGGTTGGGCCCTAAGGGGCTTTTCTGCCACATCAGTATTCATGAGCATTGATGAAAAATAGCAGTCACCTGCCTCTGTTAGCAACTAGCTTCTTCCAAGACGTGAAATTTACTGCTCTTGAAAGCTGAGGGTTTCATGTCTCTGTTTCTGCCTGTGCGAGTAGAAAAACAAAGATCTTTTTTATTTAAAAGAAAGGTTCTTTTATTATTTTATTTTTATTGTGGTAACAGTGACTTATGGGAGTATGCATGTCTGTGTTGTAGGGGTGCACTGTCACCCCATCTTGCACAGCTCTGGAGTGCTAAAATCTGCCCCTCCAGGCCATCAGATCCTTCTGATTCCCCTCTACCCCTTGCCCCCCACCCCTGTACCCTGCTATTTGAAAGCCTCAGTTCTGTGGATAGAGTCAAAGGTTTGTTTTCGTTGGAAATTATCTACTCGCTTGCTTTGTTCCATAAAAATCCATGTAAGACAAAGCTGCTCCAATAGTCTTAATCAGCTTGGCAGATTTCTGTGGATTTTCAGAGGTTTTTGTGGGGTAGGAAAGAAATAGTCTTTGTTTGATGGTTCAAAACAAAACAAACCAACAAACCCTCCGAGTTTATCATCAGAATATTCTGTAGACCTTTTGCTTCTAAAATGTGACTTAGCAAGCTTAAGCTCATTTTAGAAATCTTGAAGCCCATCTGTGAATATCTTGGAAAATGAAATAGCATAAGAACCGCCACTGCTCTCCCCTCTACTTGCCAGGGAGGGGCTGGTCATTTACCAGAGACCCTATTGATTGGCTTTGTCTCACTCAGAGCACTTTCCAGACTTACCTTGCACCAGCTCAGAAACTGAACTCTTTCCTCCCCATTCCACCGTATCAAATCATATATCGGTCACCATATGGCTGTCCTTGTTCATTTAGCATCTTTTTGATCTATCACTTATTCTTCTTTGTTATGAACGATATTTTCACGATTTATTTGTGGCACACTGATGCTTGCCCAAACAGTAAATAATGCTAGTTCATTCAGTTTTTTAGTGTATATGTTATTAAATTAGTTTCTGGAGTTTTCAAAACTCTTTAAGGGGTTCCCAGGAGGCTCAGGAGACCCATGCATGATTCTTGGCCAGCAGACTGGGGGGTTGAATGCAAGGGCCTGAGAATGTGGTGCTGCCTGCGCCCTGCCATGCTGGGGATACTGAGGTCACTCCAGTAGTACTCAGGGCCCGTTAGGGCTGCACTGGCAGTACTCGGTGACCACATGAGTGGAAATCAAAGCAGAGTGGTCTGCATAAAGGGCTTTACCTGTGTACTCTTTCTCTAGACTCCCAAAACTCCCAAAACTCATTTTTAAGCTTATTTATACTTTATTTTTTTTAGGGAGAATAGTTCATATCTTTTCTCAACCCCATGTATCAGTAGTTATTTCTTGTACTTGGAAAGTCCTGTCTTTTCTTTATACTTTCTAACCTATAATGAGTTGGGAATCAGTATAGATAATTAAGCTTGTAATGAATCAGGTAGAGTGAGAATAAATAGCTTTGAGCACCACTCATTCATTTCCTGTCAGAGTGATGTACTCTGGAGCACTGAGGCTATGTGATAATCCTTCTCCATATAAATGAGGTCTGCACTGCCTCAAAAGCTGGTGGAGATGGTCTGGGCAAAATCTGATGACTTGTCTAGACTGAATTTCTGAAACTGTGTATCACCATCCTTTATGGGGTCAGCTCATTGAATGTGTGTGTGTGTGTTGTGGGGGGTGTCACAAAAAAATTGGCAGCAAAGGTATACTACTGGAAAGTAATTTAAAACCATCTAGATCCTTAATCTGTGATGTTTCTGCCTGTACTCTCCTCTTTTGTATTTCTCAGGTGAAAAGCAGTTGCAAGTAGGAAAAGTTTATGATGCTCTGGTCTAGAATTAGCTTCCAGCATAGAAATCTCTTTGTCTTTTTTTTTTTTTTAAGGAGGAATGAGATAGAGGAAGATAAGCCCTATCCCTAGAGGGCCCACATGCCCCTTACTCAACTATGCCAGTAATATATTCTTTCATGCTTACATAGTGAAACCTCAAGCCCAGGCAGTGAAAGCCCACCCACCCAGCTTATGTGAGAGAAAGTCTCACATACGCTTCCCACTGTTGAAAGGGAGCCTGGATTAGCTCATAAATGTGATGGAGAGAGTCGGGTTTCATTCACATCACCTGCCTCCATTAGGTCCCAGAGAGGAGAAGCCCAGAGTTTGGGGTACCCGTACCCAGAGCGCTGGGTTCATTTCTCTCAGCTTTTGAGAGAGAGGTGGCTCCTGGGCCCTACTTCATTCCTTTCCACTCCCACTTGGTGTCCTCAGCTACTCTTGTGGCCAGTGGCTTTGCTCAGATTTATGGTTTGTTCCTCTGAAAAGTGGTGAGACAACCTCCCCGCTTGAAGGGGGGCCTTAATTATCATGTTGGTATACACAGCCTTCTTGTGTGCCTAAGTTCCTGGTTGTTCTAGGATATGAATAATTCTTATTTTGTCTCCCTAATGCCACCAGGAGGGAGTCGTGGCACCATAAACTACCTGCCATCTATCTGCCTGACTCGAGGTGACGTTTCCTGAGCATAAGAGCTCCATAGAAGCCTGCAGCTCAATCTCTCAGGCTATCCTGGCACCTAGCAACCATTCAGGAAATATTTGTTGAATGAATAACAAACATTAGCCATTACCCTGCCCCACTTCTAGAGCAGAGCAAAGTAGAGGTCATGTTGTAATCGAGTATGTGCACAGCAGGAACTGTATATCTGAGCCTGGGTCTGAGGCTAGACCCAGTGACCCCAGGGCGGAGCCTGTCCTCCTAATCTCTGCACTCCCACCCTGAGAGGCAGGCATGGGTCTGGGAGGAAGTCAGTGCTGCCTACCAGTGCCCCTCTGTGGGGAGAGGGTGGGTATATGATGTTTGTGGACTCAGGTAGGGCCTTGCATGCAGTTGACTTGGCTTCCATCCCTATACCTCATATGGTCCTCTAAGCCTCAGCAGGAATGATCTTGAGCACAGAGCCAGGAGCAAACTTTGAGCGCTGCTGGGTATGACCCCAGACAAACAACCAAACAAAAGTTTATGTGATCTAGAGGGCTAGAGAGATAGTACAGGAGTTAAGGCACTTGTCTTGCTTAGGATTGACTCAGATTGGATTCTTGGCACCACATATTGTCCCCAGAGCACTGCCAGGAGTGATCCTTGAGTATCAATCGCCAAGAGTGATTTCTAGGCGAACTGGGTGTGGCCCCCAAACCAAAAGGTCTGAAGGAGCATGCTTTTGGATAATAATCTGAAGCAATTAAAATGAAGACAGTAGAAAAATCATACATAATTTGGGAGCATTGCAAATGATAACCACAAACAGCTTAACAGCAGGAATCTCGATGAATTCCTCTCCTGTGTTTATTTGCACAGAGAAAACAATATATGATTTGTATTCTCTGTTGTTTAGATTGCTGCTGAGATTTGCGGCTTTTTAAATTTAATTTGCATGTGGTTTTATTCATCACCTATAGTTAAATTTCTAGGCAGCCTTTTGTAATGTCATCTAGAGAGAGTTATGGCAGGCAAACTACAGATTTACTTATTTTGCATTTGCATATGGGCTTGTGTATAAATCAGTACCACATGATCAAACCATAATTATGAGAATAAATATTCTTTTTCTCCCTTTTGCCTCATGGTGACATCACATAAATTTACATCATAGAAAAATATACTTCACTATTAAAAAAGAAAGACTATTTTATCCTTTTAACCATGGTGCTATTCCAGTTCTAATGGAATACCTGCTTAAATAAAACTTGGGATTTTTCCTGCTTTAGTCTAGATAATTGTATTTTCAGGAATTCAGGAAAAGGCTTTCCAAGATTTTTTTACCCCTTGTGTTTGCTATTGATTTTTGCTTGTTTTTAAAGTCACTGGGGCTTTAGGAGATAAATATTATATATCTGCCCCAGGCAAGACTGTTTTCAAGTCATCCTCAAAAGATAGCTTATTCTCTTCCGGAATATATTAAGAGAAGAAAGTTTCTTCAGGGCATTGTCACAATGGATCATTTACCTAGAAACCTTTTCTTAATATCTGATCTAACATCTTTCTCCTTTGGTCTTGTTAAGAAGAATTAAAAAAAAAAACTGAAGTTTTTTTTAAAAATCTGTTTTTAGGCTGGGATGTTTCTCAGTGGAGAGCATATGCCTTGCATGTGTGAGACTCAGAATTCTATCCCCCAAAATACACACACAAAAATATACAGACACACACAAACACACACACACACCCCACCCTCTTTATCAGAAATTTCAGAGGCTAGCTCTGTAGTTTCCCCCTCAAGGTTGAATAAACATAAATATTTATTATTAGTGCTTATATTAGGGAAAGGGGGGGATCCCACAAAAATGTCCATCTCATTTTCTCTTTAGCTCTTTAGAGAAATGAATAAAAAAGGGAACAAAAGTAGATTGAGTTTCCCTTTAAGACTCTTAAGATGCTATTAGGTAGTTCTGATAACTCGTAAGTGGATTCACTTTAAGGATGTTGAAAATCATTTACAATGTATTTTTAATTTTTTTTAGGTGCACTTTGACCAATTTAAAGAAGCATTAATACTTATCTTATCTAGAACTCTGTCAAATGAAGAACACTTTCAAGAACCAGGTAAGGGCACTAACTTCTCCACATTTCCCTTTGAAAGTTGTTCAAGGAAGAATGGGGAGGGACCCTCGGAGCATGTATAAGAGAGTTCGGGCATCTGCTTTTTCAGTGACTTGCCTTTTGATATCATCATAAAGACCTTGCAGCTGCTGTTGAACATGAAGATGAGACTTCCATACCACAAAGGCATATTATGGAAGAAGTAATTAGATTGTTTCTAGGCAATGTCAGATCGTGCAGCAATAACTCACTTGCAAATGGAGCCGAGCGATGTTGAACGATCCTTCCTCCGATCTTAATTCCTGTGTGTGTGTAGCACTGTAGCACTGTTCTCCCGTTGTTCACCGATTTGCTCAAGCGGGCCCAGTAACCTCTCCATTTTGAGACTTGTTACTGTGTTTGGCATATCGAATACGTCATGGGTAGCTTGCCAGGCTTTGCCATGCGGGTGAGATACTCTTGGTCGCTTGCCGGGCTCTCAGAGGGGCGGGGAAATCGAACTCAGGTTGGTCAAGTCGGTCGCGTGCAAGGCAAACACCCTACCCGCTGTGCTGTCGCCCAGGCCCAAAATGTGTGTGTGTAAGGATAAGAATTAGGGGAGATTGTACCTAAAGGATGAAGGGCAGCCAATTTGAAGATTATTGTATTTAGTTCTGGAAAAATGGATAATCTTCTGCTATTGTCATGATTCACGATCATGTTTTGTTCTATTTGTTTCTCTTCCTCTCTAAAATGATAATTCTTGAGGATGGAGTTGTTCATTTTTGTATTTGCTGTGATTGACAAAATGCTTAACATGTAATAAGTTTTCAATGACTGTTTCGTAAAAAGGGCTTGCTATTTCAAGTTTTTACAGGACACCATAGGTTGTAAGATACATCATTATTTTGAATACTTTAAGGGGAATAAGTTGTTCTTGATTATAATGGTAAAATACAAATATCCTTGTTTCAAAGTGTTCAAATCTATATATATGGCAGGCTTTATGTCTCACAATCAATTAAATATGTAAATGTTTAGGGTCAGTTCTGTGTTGAAATTGAATTATAGTTCAGTCTAGTTTTACCAGAAATCAGTGATTGTCAGGGACAAGAGCTAGAGATCGACTATCAAGGCCAAAAGGGAATTTTGGTGGTGATGAAAATCTGTTTTTATATCCTGATTGTGGTGGTAGTTACAGATTGTATAAATTTTTCTAACCCATACGTTCGGGCTGGAGCGATAGCACAGTGGTAAGGCGTTTGCCTTGCACGCAGCCAATGTGGCCGACCTGAGTTCGATTCCTCCGCCCCTCTCGGAGAGCCCGGCAAGCTACCGAGAGTATCTTGCCTGCACGGGAGAGCCTGGCAAGCTACCCGTGACGTATTCGCCAAACACAGTAACAATAAGTCTCACGATTGGAGACGTTACTGGGCCTGCTCGAGCAAATTGAACAACGGGAGGACCGTGACCGTGATATGATTGTTCACTAATAGTATGAAACTGTTGTAAATTGCTCACAAATTTGACTTAAAAATGACATTAATGGTGGTAGGTATGGTGTTGAGACAGTGTATGTGAATGTATCATTAACAGTGTTGAAAATCTTGAAACCTCAGTTAAGGGAAAGAAATATTAAGGGGGAATACAACATAGTTCACTTTAGAGCCTGAGGAGTGATCATCTACATTTTGTTTTCAGTGAAACCTACTTAGATAAAGCCCATATGGGAAGTCATTTCTTATTTTTACCCATGATCTAATTCTTCTTGGTTCTCCCAGAATGCTCCAGATCTATGTCCTGTGACATAGAACATGGCATTTAGTGGTGTTTTGGATTATTGACTCAGTATGTCCCTTTTGGCTAAGGGTGACTACCTATAGGGAGATTATCATCAACTCTGGGAATTGTCAGAGTTCCCAAGAACCCCCGAGAGCCTGAGAAGAGAGTGACTGTATATTTGAGGTGGTCTCTCTTCATAGACTTTTATTTTATTTTGTTGTGGGAAGCCACATCCAGCTGTGTTCAGGATTTATGTCTAGCTCTGCACTTAGGGATCACTCTTGGTGGGCTTGGAAGAGCTGGTGTGATGCCATGGATTGAACCAGACTTGGATGCATGCAAAGCAAGGCAAGCTCCCTACCCACTGTCCTACTACTCACCTCGCTTCACAGACTTCCTGTAGGTGATCAGAACTAAGAGGCGAGTTTTCATTTCTATGGAGTTTCACATCTTATTGTACTTTCACCTTTCAATCTCTAAGATTGTTTGTCATCTTGCTGTTAATCATGCAAGACCTCAGGCTCCCGAATAGAGAGAGCTACAATGATATCACTATAGTGACTATGAGCAGAAGTGTCCCAGGTGTAAGTTCCATCTTTTTCACATGTGTTTATATTATTTATGTCATGCATCATACAAGAATTGTGTGTATATGAAATTGGAATGGGAAATCCTGCCACTAGGCCACATGACCTTCTGCTGCTCTTCCCTCAAAATCTGTAGTGTCGCCAGAATTGTCTTCATAAATATGCAACTTCTGATGACCACAAATGTGGAGGTGGCCCCTAGAGTTGTGCCATGTTGGGCTTTAAGTGGGATGAGGCGGACAGTGACTGGTGGAGCTCGGAAGGGCTGTGGATGAATCTGCCCTCCAGATGGCAGGTTATATGTGAACCTCACAGCTGTGTAGGCTGAGACCCTCATTTGGATGAGCCCACCAGGAGAGCCCACAGAAGGGATGTTTTATGGCTTCACTGTGTGCTCTCCTTTCAATAGACTGCAATAAACCTTTAACCTTTGCTCCAAAGCAGCCCCAAATTAGTGTAATGAAGCAGCAAAGTGCTTGAGAGGCTTTCCTTAGACTCGATGCCACCTCCTGACATTTGGCTCTCCGGGCTGGACTCTGGCGTCTGCACCTGAGAGTATCTCACCTCTCGAGATGGCAGAGAGTTGTCTCTCTCCCATGTTCCCTGCTTTGTTCCTGAGCAGCCCTGCTGTTGTCTGTCTTTGGCTCTTCTCTCCCTGGTCCCTTCAGGGAGCATCTGCCACTCAGATGCTAAGCCATGACTCCGCCACCACATGCTCTCTGGTTTGTCAGCAAAAGACAGAGAGAGAGAGAAGGCTCAAGGGGGTGGGAGATAGCACTGGGGTCAGATTGCCTGCTTTGCCCATACCTGTCCCCAGATTAGTCTCCCCCGAGCCCTGCCAGGAGGGATCTCTGAGCACGGAGCCAGGAGTAAGTCCTGAGCACCACCAGAAGTGGCCCCCAAACCAAACCCAAAAAAACCTGAAAGAAAGGAAGAAGAAGGCTCAGGACTCAAATCCCTCCTTCCCCTGGAGAAAAATGACTGTATCCATTCAGTGTTTCTTAACCTTTTCCCAACTGTCAGCCCCCTGCTGACTTTGCTTCCTTTCTGTGGTCTTCCCTCTCCTACAAGGGTGGCCCCCAAGTCTCATGCCATGCGCCCCCTCCATTTATGGGATATCCTGGGAACCCATGGCCCTTGGTTGAGAAATGCGACCTGAAGTCACAGACCTTATCACTGTGGGATTAGAGAGAGAAGCAGCATGAGAAGTGAAGAGGGACATGGATTCTTTGAAGTTTCAGATAGTGACAGCAGGAGAGTGACTTCAGGAGACTTGGTTAAGGATATTAGCCTTGGATGGATGAGCAGAGGACAGACCCAGTCAATGCAGCTTGGCCGAAAAGAGTCTGACAAGTGGCCAGAGGCAGAAAGGAGTTAAGAGCTGGTTTCACCTGATTATTACTGGCAGGGCTGCCTGTCCTCAGCAGTATTTTGCTATTTGGTAGTAAGTTCTTCCTTCGTTGTAAGGGGCCGTGCTTGGGGATCTTTGTATTGCCTTTTGAAATCAGTGGACCTGCTAGACATTAAGAGAAGAATACTTTTAATCAATGAGAGAGAGAGACTTTAGAAGACTTTTTGCACAAAGCTATTGAAACTGGATGAGGTTGTGAATTATATTTTGTAGCATCAAAAATTTTTATACCCTACATACACAGCGGGTAGGGCGTTCGCCTTACAAGCGGCCAATATGGCCGAACCGAGTTCGATTCCTCCGCTCCTCTCGGAGAGCCCGGCAAGCTACCGAGAGTATTCGATATGCCAGACACAGTAACAACAAAGTCTCCAATGGAGACGTTACTGGGCCCGCTCGAGCAAATCGACGATCAACGGGAGGGCCTTTACCTTTAATCAGTACCAGATGCTCTACCAGGCTATAATGTTCAAAAAAACTAGAATGGTATGGTAGAAGGAAGTTACCAAATACTGTCTCTGTTTCTCCCCTTAGGTGACCTTATATTTTATTACCTCAGTGATCCTTTGTTACCTGGGATAAAAGTGGTTGTGCTAGAAATTATATATACCTGATGGCTTCAAGATTTAGTTGTGCTCTCTCCTAATATGATTGCTGTGCACATTTTCAGGGTAGTTTCTTTACTTTTAAATTAGTGGGTATGGATTGTTTTCAGCATCTTCTTATTTTGATATGTATGATTCTAAGACTTGAAGGAAAATTTTTCCCTAAAAAGGAATAACAGCAATACAATGAACAACAACAAAAAACCTCCCGAAATTCAAACAAAGCAGAAAAATGGATTGGTCATATAGGGAATCCTTTATAAATTTAGTATTGCCAGTAACCTAACTTTCACATGTCTACACGTACAACACTATTTTTTAAAAAGTCCTTTTTTGGATTCAGAGAGGAGCTAACAACTTAATTACTCGTTATGCATTCCACACGCTACAGCTTTGGATTATAGGATGTTTGTAATGGAAATGGCTTCTCTGGCTCTAAGCTCCACGGCATCAGCATGCTGTCTGGATCCACTCTCCAGAGATTTGGGCCTCATTTGATGCATCTTGCATTAGATTTCTGTTCTCTAGTAAATGTTAGCAAAATGCAGAAAGCCCCTTGATTCCCTGATATGGTTAATATTAAATATCTTCTCTTTGTTTCATCTGGTTGGTAAGGAAAACCTTTTAGTTTTGGGATTG